TGGCCATGACCACAGCCACCACACATGAAACACCGCCGAGTAGCCCATTGTAATATTGCTCCATTTGCAAGGATAATGTCCAGATTTCTGAGGTATCTTTTAGAGACCATATCTCACAAACCGGAGATTGGAATTAGGTAATTCCAACTCTCAAAGCTAGATATTGATGTCCATAAAGACATATCAAAAATTCAGAGCCATTAAAGAATGTCTGCTACCTCTTTGGAGACAAATGAAGCAAGCTAGACAGAATTCGGACCAGGCGTCATTGTCAAATTTGGAAGGGCGTATCTTGCTAACCACAACTCCGAATTGAGTGAAATCAGCGGCCGAACATAGATAAAAGCTTAACATTTCATGCTGGAAAGTTTCACGTTGAAATAACTTTTTCACATTCCTCCGTGATCACTGCTTTGGGGCGGACATTTTCAGGAGCAATTTCAGCATCCTTGCTTTTGTGCAACGTGGGTGAAGCTGGTCCTCCGGCAATCGTCGAGACTTGAGAAAGTCGTCGAAGTTGAGCTCTGATACCAAATGTTGTACCCGAGACCCAGGGTCTTATCGAGTAATCAATTTGATGGCGGGTTTACGGAGGAAATGGATGCAAGAAGGAAGCAACTTTGAATTCCTAAGTTCAGAAACTAGTGATAGTCGATTATCATTAACTGATAATCGATTAACAAGATATGATTTCAAAACCACGAATGTTCAGAGATGCCCGATAGTCGATTATCACTTTTATGATAATCGATTATTGGAAATGACTGGGTAAAATATGGAGGTGATGAAGGAGTTCTTTTTGGTATTTTGATTTATGAAGATATGATAGAATGTGGCTTGGGAAGAGAAAATGGAGAGGAACGAAATGGGTAGAAAACAAGGATGGATAAACCAAATAATGAATAAGAGATAAACACACTCTTATTATATCTGGGGCTGTTATCTATTTCACACAATAATAATCACTACTAATGTATAAAATAGACTCCTAACACACACTCAAAAGTAGCCAACTTTATAGATATTTTATTAGGAAATTTGGTTAAAATAGCATCACACTATTTTAAGAGAATACTCAAAAGAGTAAACAAAGTTTTTCATTCAATACAATCTGGTTTACAATGGCCTCATGGCCGAGATTATATACAACAAGGGGAAGGAAAAAAACAACAATGGCAGCTTCCTTTCTTCTTCCTAAATCACATGTTTGACATTAATGCACAACCATCCATTTGAGTTGAATTCTAGGATAAAGATGGTAGATTTTGTTTGGCTTTTCTTGCATAAGGATTTCAGCCATATGTGGATTAAGTCAAGGACATTATGTGGCTGTGATGAAGCATTCCTTGGCCAAATTTGAGGGGTATATTTCGGCCTTAAATGGGAAAGAACAAGGAAAGAGACACAATGTGGCTAGTCTTGGATTTATTGCATAATAGGACAATTCAGCACTATTCCCTTTTGGACTTTGAAAAGGGGTATTGGCTTTATTCATGAGTGGGGTTTTAGGGATGTATTTTGGCATGGAAAAGTCCTCCTTTTTGGTGTAAAACTCGGCCCTATTATGGTGATACAAAGGAAACAACATGGCCTGACTTTTAGTGAATAATAGGACAAGAAGTTACTATTCAATCAAAGACCTTTTGCTTATTTTTGTCCCTTTGTTGTGTGTGGTGATTTAGGCCTGATTTTGGGAAGAAAATGGTAGGGAATTTCGTGCGAAAGGTGTAGGAAAATAAGGGGAAGGTCTTATTTAATGAAAGGAACAAAAAAAGTAGAAAACAACACACAAGGTTTGTCTTTTTGGTCCTCATTTTAACCCAAGGCTAAAAAGGAGGGAAAAGACTTTATTTTGATTATCAAATGAAGTTTAAAGGCTTTTGGATATTTTGGGAGAGTTTGGGGTTTTGGTGGAGCCATCCAGGGGTACATCATACTCCCCTTCTTCGAAGAAAGTTTGTCCTCAAACTTTCGCACCACCGTGATTGATTTGGGGTTTCATAAAAGAGTTCCCGGATCAAATGGGAAATTCAATGAACCACGAATATTGAGGTTCCTTCCGGAATTAGTGGGCACCTCATTGTGTAATTTCCGGAACATGATGCCATTCCTTGTAAGAACCTGCTTCAAACATGCCTCAGAGATGAGATAAGATTTTCCTTCACCGAAAAGAGGATAATACTCTATGGAAATCACTTCCTTAGAATGTATAACTTCCGGTGTGGCTTCCTCTATAACTACCTCATCAACGTAGTCATCAGGAATAAGGATAGAATCATTATAGTGTGATTCTTCTTGAGCATTAGAAACTGGTTCTTCTACAAAGGCGTTATCTTTATCTTTAACAAGAATATCAAAGACGTCTTCGTCAATGCCAACTTGGTCACATGAGCTTTTCTTTTCCTCCGCATGAATCATGACCCACTCTTCATATGGTATGGCATACTTGTTTGAGCATTCCCAATGGCCATGACCACAGCCACCACACATGAAACAACGCCGAGTAGCCCATTGTAATATTGCTCCATTTGCAAGGATAATGTCCAGATTTCTGAGGTATCTTTTAGAGACCATATCTCACAAACCGGAGATTGGAATTAGGTAATTCCAACTCTCAAAGCTAGATATTGATGTCCATAAAGACATATCAAAAATTCAGAGCCATTAAAGAATGTTTGCTACCTCTTTGGAGACAAAAGAAGCAAGCTAGACAGAATTTGGGCCAAACTGCATTGTCAACTTTGGAAGGGCGTATCTTGCTAACCACTACTCCGAATTGAGTGAAATCAGCGGCCGGACGTAGATAAAAGCTTAAACTTTCAGACTGGAAAGTTTCACGTTGAAATAACTTTTTCACATTCCTCCGTGATCACTGCTTTGGGGCGGACATTTTCAGGAGCAATTTCAGCATCCTTGCTTTTGTGCAACGTGGGTGAAGCTGGTCCTCCGGTAATCGTCGAGACTTGAGAAAGTCGTCGAAGTTGAGCTCTGATACCAAATGTTGTACCCGAGACCCGGGGTCTTATCGAGTAATCAATTTGATGGCGGGTTTACGGAGGAAATGGATGCAAGAAGGAAGCAACTTTGAATTCCTAAGTTCAGAAACTAGTGATAGTCGATTATCAGTAATTGATAATCGATTAACAAGATATGATTTCTAAACCACGAATGTTCAGAGATGCCCGATAGTCGATTATCACTTTTATGATAATCGATTGTTGGAAATGGCTGGGTAAAATATGGAGGTGATGAAGGAGTTTTTTTTGGTATTTTGATTTATGAAGATAGGATAGAATGTGGCTTAGGAAGAGAAAATGGAGAGGAACGAAATGGGTAGAAAACAAGGATGGATAAACCAAATAATGAATAAGAGATAAACACACTCTTATTATATTTGGGGCTGTTATCTATTTCACACAATAATAATCACTACTAATGTATAAAATAGACTCCTAACACACACTCAAAAGTAGCCAACTTTAGAGATATTTCATTAGGAAATTTGGTTAAAATAGCATCACACTATTTTAAGAGAATACTCAAAAGAGTAAACAAAGTTTTTCATTCAATACAATCTGATGTGTTTTACAATGGCTCATAGCCGAAATATATACAAGGGAAGGGAAGGGGAAATACAGTCTAATGAAGATAAATACAACTAGGAAACTTCCTTCCATCTTCCTTACATTTTGAAATTATCACAAACATCCTAATTGAGCTGATTTTAAGGATAAAAGGAATGGATTTTGTTTGGATTGTTGTGGTGTGATATCTCGGCCTTATGTGGGAAATAGCAAAGGAATCTTGTGTGACTGAAATTAGGACTAAAATGACTTGTTTTTATGTATGAAATTCGGCCCTAAGGGATCAAAACAAAAGAGACAAAGTTTGGCTTGACTTTAAGTGAATAATTGGACAAGAAGTTACTATTCAATCACAGACTTGTTTGCTGATTTTGTCCTTTTGTTTTATTGTTGTTTTCTCATGATTTAGGCCTGGATTTTAGGAAGAAAATGGGTGGGGATTTCGTTGGAAAGGTGTAGGAAAATAAGGGGAAGGTCTTATTTCATGAAAAGAACAAAAAAAGTAGAAAACAACACACAAGGTTTGTCTTTTTCGTCCTCATTTTCATCCAAGGCTAAAAAAGGAGGGAAAAGACTTTATTTTGATTATCAAATGAAGTTTAAAGGCTTTTGGATATTTTGGGAGAGTTTGGGGTTTTGGTGGAGCCATCCAGGGGTACATCATACTCCCCTTCTTCAAACAAAGTTTGTCCTCAAACTTTCGCACCACCGTGATTGATTTGGGGTTTCATAAAAGAGTTCCCGGATCAAATGGGAAATTCAATGAACCACGAATATTGAGGTTCCTTTCGGAATTAGTGGGCACCTCATTGTGTAATTTCCGGAACATGATGCCATTCCTTGTAAGAACCTGCTTCAAACATACCTCAGAGATGAGATAAGATTTTCCTTCACCGAAAAGAGGATAATACTCTATGGAAATCACTTCCTTAGAATGTATAACTTCCGGTGTGGCTTNAGCATTCCCAATGGCCATGACCACAGCCACCACACATGAAACACCGCCGAGTAGCCCATTGTAATATTGCTCCATTTGCAAGGATAATGTCCAGATTTCTGAGGTATCTTTTAGAGACCATATCTCACAAACCGGAGATTGGAATTAGGTAATTCCAACTCTCAAAGCTAGATATTGATGTCCATAAAGACATATCAAAAATTCAGAGCCATTAAAGAATGTCTGCTACCTCTTTGGAGACAAATGAAGCAAGCTAGACAGAATTCGGACCAGGCGGCATTGTCAAACTTGGAAGGGCGTATCTTGCTAACCACAACTCCGAATTGAGTGAAATCAGTGGCCGAACGTAGATAAATGCTTAACATTTCATGCTGGAAAGTTTCACGTTGAAATAACGTTTTCACATTCCTCCGTGATCACTGCTTTGGGGCGGACATTTTCAGGAGCAATTTCAGCATCCTTGCTTTTGTGCAACATGGGTGAAGCTGGTCCTCCGGCAATCGTCGAGACTTGAGAAAGTCGTCGAAGTTGAGCTCTGATACCAAATGTTGTACCCGAGACCCGGGGTCTTATCGAGTAATTAATTTGATGGCGGGTTTACGGAGGAAATGGATGCAAGAAGGAAGCAACTTTGAATTCCTAAGTTCAGAAACTAGTGATAGTCGATTATCATTAATTGATAATCGATTAACAAGATATGATTTCCAAACCACGAATGTTCAGAGATGCCCGATAGTCGACTATCACTTTTAAGAGATAAACACACTCTTATTATATTTGGGGCTGTTATCTATTTCACACAATAATAATCACTACTAATGTAGAAAATAGACTCCTAACACACACTCAAAAGTAGCCAACTTTAGAGATATTTCATTAGGAAATTTGGTTAAAATAGCATCACACTATTTTAAGAGAATACTCAAAAGAGTAAACAAAGTTTTTCATTCAATACAATCTGATGTGTTTTACAATGGCTCATGGCCGAAATATATACAAGGGAAGGGAAGAGGAAATACAATCTAATGAAGATAAATACAACTTGGAAAGTTCCTTCCATCTTCCTTACATTTCGAAATTATCACAAACATCCTAATTGAGCTGATTTTAAGGATAAAACGAATGGATTTTGTTTGGATTGTTGTGGTGTGATATCTCGGCTTTATGTGGGAAATAGCAAAGGAATGTTGTGTGACTGAAATTAGGACTAAAATGACTTGCTTTTATGTATGAAATTCGGCCCTAAGGGATCAAGACAAAGGAGACAAATTTTGGCTTGACTTTAAGTGAATAATAGGACAAGAAGTTACTTTTCAATCAAAGACTTCTTTGCTGATTTTGTCCTTTTGTTTTGTTGTTGTTTTCTCATGATTTAGGCCTGGATTTTAGGAAGAAAATGGGTGGGTATTTTGTTGGAAAGGTGTAGGAAAATAAGGGGAAGGTCTTATTTCATGAAAGGAACAAAAAAAGTAGAAAACAACACCCAAGGTTTGTCTTTTTGGTCCTCATTTTCATCCAAGGCTAAAAAGGAGGGAAAAGACTTTATTTTGATTATCAAATGAAGATTAAAGGCTTTTGGATATTTTGGGAGAGTTTGGGGTTTTGGTGGAGCCATCCAGGGGTACATCAGATGAATTAGTTAAAACAAAATAATTTGTAAAAAAAAGTTTGTGTTAATTCTTTATATATCTTGTTTAAAATATTCATACCAATTATTTTGAATATCCAATGTTTTGAGAAATTGATTTTGCCTCCACTTAAAAATATAATTGACAAGTTGTTCAAACAAAATCGTTGAATTTTGATAAGATTTTAATGAATTTGATTTGAAGAACCGTTTATTCAAGAATTTATCTATGTTTAACCACAAAGTACTGTTGTTACTCTTTGAAGAAACTAATTTTTTATGACTAATGAATTGGGTCAACATCGAATGATTTTATCAAATTTTTCTGAACTGAGTCTTGATAAAGGTTACTTTCATATGAAAATTTATTTGACAAATATTTCTTTTTCAAAGGCGTTATACCAAATTATTGAGATAATGATTGAAATTATAGAGATTATCCAGTTCAAAGTCAAATTTTGACTAAATTATAATTCAAACTTTGATAAATATGACATTCTTCTGAACATGATTAATTCTTAATGAAAATTGTTTCATAAAATTATTCTATGTTGAATATTAAAAAAAGTGTGTGTATTTGAAGCTATTGTATGTTGAAGTTAATTTTAAAAGAAAATGTTGGGACTTATTTTAAAAACCATACAAAACAAAATTGTTGAAAACTTAATGTGAGCATTTTGATGAATCATTTCAAAGGAAATTAATTTAGAATAGATGATTTGGGACAAAAAAAACCAAAACAGATTGTTGAAGGCTTTGTGTAAGTATTTTTCTTTAATAGTTTTGAAGAAAACATATATGTTTTGAAACTCATCAATTTATAGTGATTGTTGAAAATATGTTTATTATGCAGTGTTATTTCAGATAAATTTCTTTAAGATTTTACTCTAAAATGAATCTAATTTAGCAGAAATAATATTTTATGTGGTACCGTAGATACTATAATAAACTATATTTCGTTTACTGAGGGAATACAAAGAAAAATTTTCAGGGTGCATAAGAACACAAATATGTGAGCATGTTGTTAAGTCTCAAAAGGAATTAATTAAAAAAAGTGTGAGAAAGACATTTGAACGAATAATTACAAAACAAATGTGTTTTACAAACTCTTTGATGCTAATGTGATGAGATAAGTTTTTGACAATGTTATTTTATACAAAGTATCTTTTAAAGATACTTGTAAAAAATTGTGTGTGTCGTAAGACACCTTGAGCTAATAAAAAAATAATGACAAAACTATTTTTGCCTTAAAAAAATTGTGAGAAATGTGTTGCATGTTGGAAGATGAAAATCTTTGCTTAAAAAAGTGTGTAAAACTGAATTTTTTTTACTAAATGTCATCTTGATATGGTAAAAAAAATTGTTATTATAAAGTTGATCTAAATATTGTGGAATGACATGAACAAATGTTGTTGTTATGGCATATTTAATGTCATCAACTTGTTTCAATGATGTGCAATCTACTTGTTGATATCATGTAAATCAGTGCAACCTTTTTTAAGGTTCACAGTTGAAAACTTCAAATTATGAATCATTATTTAGCTAACTACCTAAAAAACCTTGAGTAACTACAATGATGATTACTATTCGCTAAACGTCACTATACAGCTTTAATTATGAACGTTAGCCGTGAAAATAATCATTTGTCCAAAATGACAAATAGTGTGCGTACGCTATGAACCAACACTCCAGACTTAGTTTGAGGATGCTTCTAGAACATTTACGTAGTAAAAAAAACATGTATGAGTTGTAAGACGCAGTCATAGAAGGACTGTTGAAGAATCCTGCGATGACGCAAGACAATCCGTAAATCCACTTGGCACGAATCTCAGCATGAAAAAATTGAAGCACAATCTAAAGGTAACTCTTTTCTCTTATCTTGAACGAAAACACGTCATTGTCTAGTTGCTCAAAAAAGTACAAAATATACTTTTGTCAAATAAAGGCCTTTAACAAAAGTGTTGTACTCATCATTTTGTGAATTATTTTGAAATAAATTTTTACCTTAGGAAAATTTCGAGACAGAATTTTTTTAAGGGGGGAAGAAATGTAACGCTCCAAAACATGGACTAAAAGTTATTTACTTATTTTATAATAAAAGAATTTTTAAAACAATATTTTGACCCAACACCGAATAATTTCTATGTTTGACCAAAAATAAAGGAATTTTTGGAGTTAGTGATTTTTTGTTAAAATTGAGTTTTATGGATAGGTCTCGAAAAGATGGATCCAACGGTATATTTTATGAATAAATCTGATGTACAGATTTTCAGTTATGACATTTTAAATATGTAATTTGCATAAAAATGAGAAGTGGTCAACGATGTGAACTTTTGTAAAATGATTTGTTGAAATATGTTATTCAAACTTAATAATATTAATTAAATATGAGATTACTTTTAATTATTTGTCAATTAATTTAATTTTGACTCTGTCAAAGTCAACACCCTAAAATTTGGTGTCAGAAAAAGTATTTAAAAAATATGAAAATTATATTGTCACGTAGAGTTTGACCGTCTGACCACAACGATATAATCAGATTTCAATTTGGAGAAAGATGGACCCAAAAGTATACCCCGAATAGGACTATTTTAGTCCCAATGAGGGACAAACATGTGAAATTTCCAAAAAAAATCAGCCGCCACCCCCACTACGCCCAACGGATGATCAAAGAGCATCACCCCAAATGAAGTCATCAAACTTTATAAAAATCTTCTTCTTCCCCTATAAATGGAGCACCATCTCTCCTACAATTCCCCACCAATATTCTTCATTCTTCTTCCTATAGTTTCATTAGAGTATAGGGAATAAACCACCTTAGTTTGCCGCCGTCGAAGTTTGCGGAGGTAGTCACGGTTCTTGCCGGAAGTTGTCCCGGAAAGTTGAAAGAAGAAAACATCCATGTGCAAATCAGCCCACTTGTGAGTATTTTTACACCCTCTAAACGTCGTTATTTTAATATGGTTTATAAATGAAAGTTGTAGCCTTATGTCTTACAAATCCGTAGCTTCAAACGGTTCGGGATTTCATTAAGTAACGAAGGAGATATGACCCAAAAACCAGGGTTGGTACAGTGGTGACTGGAAGTGACGAATTTTAAGATTTCTGACGTTGTTTTCGCTCCCGTTCATTTGTTGAGCTTCATCTCGTTGATTTCCAGGTCTATACCATGATTTTAAACAACTTTAGAAGGCATTGAAATGATCCTTGAACTTATTGATTCATATATATTTGATAATATAAATATTTGATATTCATATTCATCAAACTTGTTTTGTTGTTAAAGCTTCAAATTAATCGTTTTTGAATGATTTATCGACGTTAGAAAACATTTTTATTATTCCAGTTTAAAGCTTAGAAGCTTAAATGATGTTTTGAGAATAATGGGTCAAAGGTTGAACATGATGAATAGTGACATGCGTTTCTCTTTGCGCGTATGTAGTAATTACATACCGTTTAGCGGTACCAGAGTATCGTGTCATGGTACTGGGGTACCGTAACAAGGTACCATACGATTGCAATTGGTCTAGAATGGTATGGTCGGGCGTTTAGACTCAACAGTTCACCGTTGCAAACATTTTTAAGACGAAAAATGCTATTTTTGATAATGTAAAATCTTATTTTTGAATATCATTTGATTACAATAAATATGGAAATGATTTTTATAATTAAATATGATGTTTTTGACAAATAAATAATCTTGTTTGATGCATGACAGTAAGCTAGGGTGTTAACACCCGAAGCTAGGCCACTATTTGTTATTGCATATTATGATGATTATTACTAATTGATTATTATGATGATGATTATTGATTGATGATTATGATGATTAAACCTTGATGAATATTCGGTTTAAAATGCTAATCATGAATGATTAATTATTCATAATGAATATATTGATGATTGTGAAAATAATATGTACTGTTAAGGGTATCTAAATATACCCATATTAATGTTGAATTGAAGGGTATCTAGAAGAACTCTAAGATATACCCAAATGACCATTTTAGTTAATTAATATTCATTTCAAGGGTATCTAGAATAATTCTAAGATTTACCCATAGTGATGTTAATTTTGAAGGGTATCTAGAAAAACTCTAAAATATACCTATTTAAGTTAGGCCTTGCGGGTATGATACCCGGTGGTCAGGGTTAAAACGTACGTACAGGATCCAAGAACCAAACTTGAGTACCTACTCGTTTGGGGTACCACCCAACCCAACAGTGAACACTACGCTGTCAATTTCTGGTTGGCCTTAAGCGAAGGTAAGTTTAAGATTAAAAAAAACATCTTTTAAAAATATGTATCTTAAACTAGGCCTAGATTAAGGGTTGGTTAGGAATACCTTAAACTAGAATTAGTTTAAGAATTAAATTAACCTTAGACTACGAATAGTTTAAGAGCATTGCTATGATTTGGCCTTAGCTTATAATAAGTTAAAAGCAATTATTTTTGATAAAACTTGATATGAAATTATGTGTCAAATGATGAATATTGTGATAAAAAAATGACATGTGATTATTATGAACTGTGGACTGATTCCTATATAAGTTTGAATGATGTTGTTAATTATCATTGTTAAAATGACGAAGACAGATTTAAATATGAAAAGAAAATATTTGAACATATATATTTGATTGGTATTGTTTAAGAAATTATTCTGTGTATTCTTTTGTTGTGCCATGGTACTGTAAGGTAACCATGCAAGGATAGGCAGCGGAATATAAAAATTTTAAGATCCTAACATGATTATCTTGCCAAGAATCACGTACTAAAACTTATAGTAGTAAGAAATTTGTACCTTTCTCCGTAAGCGGTAAAAACGAAGAAGTCGTAGGAAGAGCGTTGAAAGTGCAAACGTAACCGTTCAAGCGTCCGGTCTCCAACTTTGACACACGAACAACGCCGGAGTCTACCACAATCTTTATGCTAGTAAAGATTGTAGTAGTATAAAATATAAAGATTAAAGTTGGGATAATAATAATCTTGTATATATCTATAGAAAATATTTCTAATAATATTTAGAAAATATTATTGATATTTTCTATACACAAAATGATATTAATGGAACACAAAAGAATTTCTCTCTCAAAAATAATGGTGGCCGAAAAAATCCTTTTGAAAAATCCCATAGTTAGCTAATGATTTGTGTTGGTTTAAATAAAGTATGATTAGTAATTGATTTTGTCATTAGCTAATATGACAAATCAATTTAGCCACTCAAGAATCAATCAAGACATAATTTTGATTCATTAAATCCTCATATGGCCGAATGATGATTTTGAGAAGGATTTTCAAAATTCTTCTCCACTTACATGTTCAAAGTGTATTTTATTTGACACCAAAAATTAATATAAAATTAATTTTAAATCAACTAAAAATACCCATATTATTTTTTAAACAAGTATACAAATATACTTTAAATAGTTTATGTCAAAATAATTATTTTCATAATTAAAATGACAAACTAAAATAAAATATTCAACATATAATATATATATATTTCGGTATTTATATATATAAATATATCACCGAATGTTTTACATATATAATATTATATTCCAAAATATTTTATTTTACTATTTTACAAATATACAAAATACTTATTATCCCATTGTTTAATCCTACTCCTTAAATTTTTCAAAGTGTGTGACCCGTATAGGCACTTATAAAGCTGGCCATAGTATTGGCTCTGCACCAATACTATAAGCAATAAGCGGTATCTAGCAACACATTATTGCCCCCAGATTATAAGTTAAGACGTTTGCACCGTCAAAACCATTCCACGACTCAGACTCCGTGTAACTATATCCCTTTGTCTCAATGTCTAAACTCAATGCAAGAGATTAATAAAATCCAGCTTGTATCCATTAAGTCATTCACTGATTTATCAAGTCTGACTAATAGGAACAGACATCATAAAAGCATCTCAGCATGGCCATGCAATTTCCTTAGTCATAACTTATCAGTGGGCCCCATAAGACATTAATTTCTTTAAAAAGAGTAGTGACAAATCCTATGTACGTAATCTACGTTTCTGAATACGCGCTGCGGCATACCCAAAACAAAGCCTGTATACCATCCTTATTTCATATGGCTTAGGACAATGCATCAAAGTATGCGGGTTCACATATGTAGAAAACGTAATACTTCAAGTCGAAGGATAGTTACACCCGTGGTCGCGCTAAAGATGCTTAGAGCATGAACTAAAAATTCAAGCAACATCTTTAGAATGGGTCAGTCCGGCATCCTATTATCTCTAGATAATATCTGCCCATGTGCGGATGCGAACACACTGTCATTGACTATGAGACTAAGTCAAACATCCAACACACACTAGTCTCACATGCATTAACGATATCCCACTCTCGTTAATACTCGACTATGGACATTTAGATAAATATTTATTTCAAGANGAGATGTGTAAACATATTATATCTGCCTATAGATGATAGAATAATGATAAACAGTTGGCCATCAGGGCACAACTCCAACAGGTACCACTTAACTTCATTGCTGAGCGTGTAGACTTTTTCATCTTTCTACACGTAGGTATGAGAGAAATAAATGTGGAGCCTATTCTGGAGAATACTGAGATGGAGGTGATGCGTGGACATGAACAAATATACTATATAAGTAAATGATTTTATCACATCTGTTGACAATAATGTTGTAGTTTACAAATTGCTTTCGCACTGTTTTAAATAATTTTACTCCGATGTAGTTATGAAATATTTTGTACCATTATTTGATAAAAGTTTTTAAATGTTTGAAATTTTTACGTTACAAAGTTAATACTTTAGTTCGAAAGGAGCTGTAGACCTAGACGAATTAGGGTGTTACATTAAGACTCGATGCTAGGCCGCTAATTGTTATCATTATTGATTGATAATTATGATGAATATTATTGATTTATGATTATGATGATTAAGATTTAATATTCTGATTTAAGTAATGTTTATGAATTATTAAATCATGACTAAAAATGGATAGATTGATGATCACGAAAATGATGTGTAACGTTAAGGATATCTAGAAGAACTCTAAGATATATCCATTTGGAATTTATGATGACTATTATGGATATTTAGAAGAACTCTAAGATATACCTATGTGACCAATTCTGAAAATTGGGGTTAAAACGTGCGTACGGGATCCAAAACGAATATCACCCACCTGAGAGTTCAATGTTCGGTTGGTACGTAATCCATAAGACTCATAGGGTGGATTTTCGATTCATGTGTTCTGCCTTAAACGATTTATAGTTTAGGAGCCTAGTTAGAAATATTGCCTTAAACTAGGAATAGATAAGAGCTTGTTATAAAAATTGTTTGGCCTTAGATTAAAAATAATTTAAAAGCACTATTGAGATATTTAATGTTGAATATTGTATATGTCCTTAAATGACTTGAATTAAAATATTGTGAATATCATGAGTGATGAGTGCTTGAATTGTATATTGTGTGCATGATATCAAATGGTTGAGTATGAATTTAGGTTCAATTTATATGGATGTTCGATGCTTTAGATATGCTTACTCAGCTTTACCGCTGAGCGTGTAGTATGTTTTATTTGCTACACGCAGGTAAAAAAAAGAATGAAGTGACGAGTTCTTGGAGACAGATGGGACGAGAAGGTCGTGATGGATGTGTGAATTTAAATAATTAATTATGATTGTTATGAGACATGTTTTGAATTCGCTTCCGCATTACTAAACACTCTGGATTTCTACAGTTATGTATTGAATATTATTTATGATGAATAAAGATGTTTAAAATATTTTAAATTTTTACGATTACCACGACAATACTTAAGTCCGAAAGAGGCTGCAGACCTGAATGGATTAGGGTATTACAAAAAAACTAAACTGATGAGAGAAATATTTATACTATGTTTGGTTCAAGAAATTTAAGAGGGAAGAAAAAGAAAATGAGAAGGAAAACATTTTTCTTGTTTGATTAGAGAGGAAAAGAAAAAAATTGGAAAGAAAAGAAAATGAGAAAGAAAAAATTACTAAGGGATGAGAAAACCAATTTCCTCCCATTTTGTGAGGAAAATGAGGGAAAAATATTTTTTTCTTTTCATTTCAAACTCCTTTAACCAAACATAGTTTTAAGGGGAAAATGATGTTGTATGAGAAATAGAAGAGAGAGGAGGGAAAGTGAGAAGCTTTGAGGCGAGGCACCCACTCATATCTTCGAGAGTACCTATACCATACATTTGGATGTACGTTATTTCCCGTACATGTGCAAGAACAATCATTGTCGAGTAACTAAGTAGTCATTTTGAGTAACAGAATACTCATTTTCAAGTAACTGAATGTTCATTCTCGAGCATAAATGAATTTTAGAGAAATGAGTATTCAGTTATTCGAGAATGAGTATTCATTTGCTCAAAAATGAGCATTTAGTTACTCGTAAACGAGCACTCTCCGTGGATGTGTAATATATTTTAGTGTAATAAAAAAACTATTTGATCAATGATATTATAGTAATCATCAAAGAAGTTTTGTGGTGCGGAGTGCACGCTTCGTTGAGTTTGTTTTGATAAAAGTCCCGTTCTAATGAGAGTTCAGAGCAGCACTCCCGATCAGGGTCAAGGGGCAGAGCCCCAAGTTGGGGTCAGCTCGAAATTTTTTTATTTTGGACAAAGTCCTTTGTTAAAAATTTAATTTGAATTTTAAATTTTTGATTTTCCTTAAGGTAGTGTTTGTCAACTAGCATTTCATTTCAATTCATGCATTTCAATTCCAAAATTTGAAATCCTGAATTTCAAATGATAAGGAGAGGTGCATGGATTTCAAATTAAGCTTTGTTTTGAATGTAAAGAATTTGATTCAAATCCAAATTCCAAATGCTTAAGTTTCCCAAACATGGAATTTAAGCCAAATCCAGATTTGAAATCCAAATCCATGTTCCCAAACATACCATAAAGAAATTTTTGGGAAAAATGCTTGCGTTTTTCTAACGTTTCGCGCGACTAGACACGAATTTAGGAAAAGACGCGACCGCATCTCAATCCTTCCTTCCGCGTCTATGAGAATCCGGAAAAGCTCTTGGTCGATGGTAGAGTTAGGAAGTTCATATCTACTTATACCTGTTCTTGTCAAATTTGAGCGTTTATCCAATTGATTTTTGTATTAAACATCCAAAATATTCAACAAGTTGTACAGTATATATTTTCCCAAATTAATCTGTGTCATCTAGAAGGGCAATGCTAAGGGTATACCAACATGGGTACCCCATATGGCCATATGTACACCAAGCCAACACAGACACACACAAATATTTTGTGTCTGTGTTGGTTTGGTGTACATATGGGGTACCCATGTTGGTGTACCTCTATGTTAATTCCATCTAGAAAGAAACACTATAGAACAAGTTGTAGAGTATATATTGTGTATCTTCCATGAGAAATGTTACCTGATTTATGTAAAGTATTAGGGTGGATTATTATAATTCAGGCACTCAGCAGCACGCGATCTTAAATGCTGTTTGATTTTTGCCTAGAGATTTAAGTACATTACTGTATAGAAATCTACGATAGAAAGATTGGTTGAGTTTCCCTCTGAGGTTATTAAAAAGGCAGTAGCTAATTACCCTGACCATCCACTAATCTTGGTTGGGAAGTCCATGAGATCAAGGTATATGTAGTAGATCCCTTTTCACTGAGGTTCCTCTGTTTCAAATCACACTATGTATCACATATATTTTCTCTTCAACCAATATTTTGTTTACTAGAGTTTGAGTTACATATCTATTTATGTAAGAGCTAAATCATTGTGGAGACTGGAGAGTTATTGATGAAGTAGAGGACTACTTTTTTCTATAGATAACCAGGTCTTTACCCTCCCCATACCCTGCTACTTTATGTAGGGTCAGCTGCATGGTTGCTGCTGAAGACGGTGGTGCTACTATTGTAGAATGATTGGGATGCCCACTGAAGGTGACTCCTTATGTGTTTAATATTAATGGCTGCAATTTCTTTTCCAAGTATTGCTTAATCTTCTAAAATATGGAGTATTAAATTTCAAATGATATTGCTGATGTTCTGAACTGCATTAATATTTTTTTGTTTTGATACTTTATGAACAAATGAGACTAAATGTAATCATAATTTCTTTATCACATCAACCTAGAAACACCTCTATATCAGTGGGGGTAGGGGAGCAAAGATTATCAGTCGGGAAAAGACACTTGCTCCAACAATTGTGCAAAATTTATGCAGTTTTTGTAAATATTGAAAATATGAAATTTCTTACAGGGAATAAATAGTGTTCTGAGAGACGAGACACTCTACAACTTTGTGTTCCAATTATGTATGTGCAGGTACAAACACTTGGATTTTAAAGCTTTGCTTCCGTGAAGGTGTATTAATCACGGTTAACTCGAAACTAAAGTCATGCACAAAAGCATAGTGGGAAAGTTTTAGGCCAGATGCCCTTCTTGTCCCAATCTTCGACCTTACGAAAGAACAATGAGATATTTTTAAAAATGTCAACACCATAGGTTAGGTTCTACTTGGGAAATGTCACGAGATGGTGATGAGTAAAGATATATCCTAGTCACCTTCCTTTTCAAGATTGATATTGTAAAATGTACCTGCAAAGCATGGAACCTGACAAAGGTTGAGTTTGGTCAACAACAACTACCTAGTAAAGTCCAACAAGTGGGGGTAGAGGGTAGGTTTACGCTAACCTTATTCCTACCTATCATTGCTCAGAGCCTTAGATATTGAGCTCAATGCAAGTTTATTAAGTGTCTTTGCTGCCAATGTTTTGATAGTGAAATATAGAAATATTCCACATGTCATATGCAATATATAGTGTGAAGTCTAATGCTAAGGATCTGTGTTTGAATCACAAGACATTTTTCTGTGTAATGTAGTCTATTTTCCTATGAGGGGTGGCAAAGATGGATTTTGTCTGTTAGTTAAAGTTGAAGATGTGAGGAAAAAAATGATTTGTGCTAATGAATTAATTACATGTGATTGATGGGGGCGATCATTGGTTCAAGATTTCAAAGAAACAACTGCAATCATTTGAAGATCATGCTATTCAAGCTATCGTGACCTTTGTTTCTAGTTTGAAAAATCTTTGATCTTTGACTGCCAATCATTTTTTTTATTGAGATAGGAGTCACTGGTGTTTTTTTTTTGTTTTGTCCCTGTTCTTGTCTGTGATACATCTGTTGGGAATAAACGCACGCGGAAACAACACACAATCACGAATCAACTGCAGAAAAATAAATGACACAGGATTTAACGTGGTTCGGCCGCCAACTGCAACCTACGTCCACACGGGGCAACTAGGAGGATTTTATTATTTGTTGTTGCACCACAATTACAAGCACATTAGCATCTCTTAAATAGAGAATAATTAGGAGAGCACAATGATTAAGGAAGTTAGAAGCTTCTAGGTAGTTTCCTGTCAATTTCCTGTTAGTTTCCACCTAGCTTCCTGGCTTCACACTCAACAATCTCCCACTTGAAGCCACGGAACAATGTTCACCTGCGCTTCAACTGTGCACATGTACTTCTGTAATCTGATAACGGAACTCAAAATTCCACCACCTCTAGTTGCCACCAGCCTTCTTGATCATCGAGAAGACTCTNAACCTTGGCTGAAGTAAAACCTGTGCTCCCACTGCCACAGATACCTCTCACTGGCCTCATTGAACCTTTCCTCGCTCGTTCATCCTGAGTCTGACCTGTGGCTCTGGGTTTCTTTCTTGCATAGAAAACCTTCTTCTGCCCACGAGACTCTGTGAACCGGACTTCGTTTTTCTTCTGAATTGGGACGGTCACTCCCTCAGATGGTAACTCGACCATATACAACGAACCTCTCTTCCTTCCACGGGCCATGACAAGATTTCCCTTCACGACCTTCCACTGCCCATTTCCGAACTTCACCTCGTGTCCCTGTTCGTCCAACTGCCTAACACAAATCAAACTTTTCTTCAAGGCTAGAACCACTCTGACATCCTTCAAAGTCCAGAAACCGACAGGGGTTTCAGCACTATGTCACCCATGCCCGTCACATCAAGAGCTCCGTCGTCTGCTAGTCGTACCTTTCCAAAGTCCCCAACAACTAGATTCTGCAATGCTTCACTGCTGTGGGTAGCATGAAATGAAGCACCAGAATCCATGACCTAGGAATCTACACTGCTCTCCGCACAACAGATAAACAAATCCTCGTCGCTCGCGGAGCCTCTAGCAATGTTCACTTGCTTATCCTCTTTCGGGCACTGATTTCTGAAATGCCCCACCTCCTTGCACTTCCAGCATGTTACGCCTGAGCTATCCCGAGTCTTCGATCGACTCCTTCGTCTGTTCTTGCTCCCACTACCTCTGTTATTTCCTCTACCTCTGACGATATTTAGTGATTCTTCCGAAGACTCACCAGAACTCCTTCTTCTGACATCTTCGCCAAGAACAAGGTCACGAATCTTCTCAAAAGTGAATCCGTCAGGTCCCGCTGAACTGGTAACTGCTGTAACAGTTCCGGACCAAGTGTCAGGCAATGACGATAACAGTAGTAAAGCTTGAACTTCATCATCGAACTTAATGCCAACTGACAAAAGTCTGGCTAAGATCGAATTCAACTTGTTGATATGCTCGGTAACTGAAGTGCTATTTTTCATCCTTGTGTTCACTAGCTCTCTTATCAGAAAAACTTTGTTTACTGCAGATGGCTTCTCGTACATGTTAGACAGCGCGTCCATAATTCCCTTCGCTGTCTTCTCCTTCAGAATGTTGAACGCAACATTCTTGGTCAACGAGAGACGGATCACTAACATAGCTTTCCGATCTAAACCTGCCCAATCTGCATCCGACATCTTTTCTGGCTTGTCACCCAAAACCACGTCCAAATCTTTCTGAACCAGCAAATCTTCAATTTGCATCTTCCACCAACTGAAATCTGTACCATCGAACTTCTCAATTCGGAACTTCCCATCTTCTGCCATCTCAAACGACTAGACGAGATACCCGATACAACTAATTTCAGATCTTGGTTTTTTTTTTCGTCAGAAAATCAGGCCCACCACTTCAACTAATTTAGCAAAACCAAACTAAGCCCAAAAAACACCAAAAAAAAATGGCTGACCAATTTAAAAAAACAAATTAGCCCACTGCTTTTTTCCTTTTCTTTCTTGCGGCCCAGCCTATAGAGCTCCACCTTTTTCTCCGAACCTACAAAGCAAGAAAAACATCCCCTCTGCTTTTGTTTTTTTTTCGGCAAAGGCAAAACAGGACGGGGGTGGCGACCTTCACGAACCAGCAACGCGACTGAGGACGGCGGCGGTTTCAGGATCTGCTATCGATGGCGGCGGCTCCTCCACGCGGCGGCGGATCCTTCTGCCGCTGCTCCTGCGTGCGGCGGTCTGTACGCCAACGGCGGCGGCGATTTGGGAACTCGACGGCGGCAACACGCAGCGGCGACGTCAGCGATCTTCCTCGCGGCGACGACGGCAAGACCCAGCGGCGAACTCGACGGCGTTGCACCCTCTCTCGCTCCTGCCGCGGCTGACGGCGGCGATCCAAGAGGTCGACGGTGGCTACTCGGCGAGCGGTCGGACGACACCTGCTTGCGGACGGCGGTTGACGGCTGGACGGAGGGCGGCGGATCTGCCTACTGCGCTAAGACGGCAGCGGCTCTTCTCAGATCTATAGCACACCCAAATCCCAAAAAACCCTAGGTGACAAATTTCTCACAATTTGCACTAGTTTTGAATAACATAGCTCCGATACCACTTGTTGGGAATAAACGCACGCGGAAACAACACACAATCACAAATCAACTGCAGAAAAATAAATGACACAGGATTTAACGTGGTTCGGCCGCCAACTGCAACCTACGTCCACACGGGGCAACTAGGAGGATTTTATTATTTGTTGTTGCACCACAATTACAAGCACATTAGCATCTCTTAAATAGAGAATAATTAGGAGAGCACAATGATTAGGGAAGTTAGAAGCTTCTAGGTAGTTTCCTGTCAATTTCCTGTTAGTTTCCACCTAGCTTCTTGGCTTCACACTCAACAACATCTTTTTTATAATGCTCATTTGGAAATATTTTTGCTCATGGAATCTTTATACCTTGCAACATCCGTCTTATATCTATATAATAAGAGATGCCAAATAAGTACTACAGTCTGTCCAATCATTTGTGAATCTCCTTTTATGCCAATAGCCAACTTCAAAGAGAATGTATTCTATTTTAAGCTTAGCATCGTTTCGTTATAACTTATTCCATCTCACATCAGAATCACGACACCTTGAGTTGGAAGTCTATCTCGAAAGGTCCTATGCAGTGAGACAGGGAGTGCATCCAGTGACATGCCAAGACACAAAGCAAACCTCTTACCTTATAACATTATTAAATATGTTCTAGTATATTATGTATTCATGTTTGTAGTAAACAAGAAAAGTTGTGATTTTTTAAAATGAAGTTAGTTACACTAAAAGTCTGGTCTTCTAAAGAGCGTTACAGTTTCTAGACAGTAGTAGTCTGTGGCCTATCGCCTGGATGGGTTTTGGCGGGGTTTAGTTTGGTCTAGGGACGTTAGGCTGGGGCCAATCAAGAAGAACTAGGTTGTCTTCGAGGTAGTTGAACTGCCTTGTTCTGACCTAAGAAGAGCTATATGTGGATTTTTAAGACAAAGGTTGGACTTGAGCATTGGTATCAAGAAAAGAAGCTAAACAATGAAGCCTTCTCTCACTACGAGCTTTGCTTATTGGTTCTTGACTCATGTAAACCTAAATCCTCTATTTCTTTGGCGCAGGGTTTATACCTGGATGTTAAATTTGAACTGGTAAAGGTGCCTCAAGAAGTTAAATTTTGGGATTTTCAAGGTACTTCAATTTGTCGTATGGTGTCTTTGCAAAATATTTATGTTCTTGAGCTTTGATTGTCTATAACAATACTCTATTTTTGTTCACTTCATATTGCTCTCATATATGTTTTCACTTATTGTATCTTATATGCCTTCACATTAAAGTCCCTTAAAAAGATAATAGCATGATCAAGTTTTTTAAAATTTAAGTCAGGGAACTCCAGAGTGTGTCTTCTAAATTCTAATATTTGGAAGTTACTGAAAGGAAACACCCAAACACCCATGATATGGCACTTAGGCAATATGCATGAATCAGATAAAAGCCTGGAGCTGTTTTATCATTACTTGCTCTTATTGGATACATGAAAAATTAGTATTTATACTGTGTAACAGCACACACGCGCGCACACATACACACTGACATACACACTTTATTTGCTGTTTGTGAATTTAGTTGATCGCATGATCCATAGAGAAACATGATAAGAACCTCTTTATTGCTTCTCCTTCACATATGGGTATTCCTCACTTCTCGTCATCGCTCATTGCTGCTGCTGTCGCTGCCACACTCACAGTTTGTTCCTCTGTGCTTTTTCTTCCCTATGCTCTTCAGCTGGTGTTTCATCTTGTCCACCAAACCCTCTTTCTTCTCACAGGTTGCAGTTGAATTTTTGATGCATGCAGTTTCATTCACCTGGTTGTGGTGGTGAAACACTCTCCCCGCCACCTCTTTCACCTTGTCTTTCAAAGAATGGTGTTGATCGTTTTCAACCTTGTGGCTGGTGACAACGGTGGTTTTTTGACAGACCGTTGTTTCCTCGACTTACATGTAGCTCTGCTCCAATGCCATTATTGAATCAATGCAGAAACGGGTGTGTATATAGAGAAAGGATATTCAGAGGTTTATTGATGATAATTGATGACTTGTTTGGGGTTGACAGCTCTCAACATTCATGTATCTTATATAGGCAATATAGCTAGAGGTAAGCTATGTGTGGGAGAATTTTGTTCCTCTTTCTGTGTAGTCAGATTTATAAAGAATTTGATTACTTATATAGACACCCCCACCGCCCCCGCCCCCCGCCCCCAATTTTATGCTTTTGATGAGGTCCACATATATGCTACCTCGTGGAGAAGGTTCACCAAGGGCGGTAAGTGAAAGAGAATATGAGATTTTCTCACCAGTGAATCATCTCAAATTGACTCTTTTTGGTTTTTAAAAAGAACTGAAAAAGGGTAGAACTGTAGAAGTTAGAGTTAAGGAGCAAAATAGGAGTAAAATATTGATAAAAATCTAAAATAGGAGTTCAAACATAAAATCCCCAAAATAAGTTGTTGACTCTCCTCTCACAACTGCCTCGTGGTTTCATGGGTTTAGTAAAGTAAGTTTTTTTCAACTCCCAAAACAAAGTTAGAGGCAGGGTCAATTATTTTTAGGTAGCTATGGGTGGAGGGGAGCTAGCTAGTCAATATGCATAGGTTTTGGTACGGTTCTGTCTCTTTTATTTTCCTATTTGGATTTATTTTTGTGAGGGGGGATTATAAATGTGAAAGAAAGAGAGAAGAGGGAGGGAAGGGTGGTATGGCAAATGGCAATGATGCCTGCCCATACACACATATACACACCACTAGGGGTGGACACGGTACGGTTCCGGGACGGTTCCGGTACCGCCACCCCATGTAACCGGAATTGTTACCGTGCCGGCCGGTACCGGTTCCGGTTCCCGGACCGGCGGTTCCGGTACCGGACCGGCCGGGTTTGGCCCCCCCCCCTATGTTTTTTTTGTTTTTTTTTTTAAATTTTTAAAGTATAAAATTGTAAATTTCCAATTGTGTAAGGGAAGAATGAAATAAAAAATCTAAAAATGTAGTTGTTATTTAAATATTGAAAATGAGTAATACACTAACTGAAGAACAACCACATTTAATATCCTGACGGTTCAAAAAAAGCGACGAGGTAAAGAACAGTAAAGAAACCCTCGAAGGAGCTTATATATCGCTCACCTAAAAAAATTAATTACATATTTACATTAACATAAAAAAAATTTATAACTTATTCTTCAGAACTCGGACTTCCATCTGTGGTTGCATTCATGTAATGCTCCGATTCGAGTTGGTATGATGACTCTTGAGCCCGACGTCTTGCCAAGAGCCAATCTTGGTTGCAAACCAGTGTTTCAAGAGATTCAGCATTCAGACAACTTCGGTAGTCGGTTAGAATGTTGCCGCCAGCACTGAATTCTCGTTCAACTGCTACGGTTGATACTGGGACGGACAACACTTGTCTTGCTAGCATGCCGAGACATGGGAACATGTGTTCGTTCCGCTTCCACCATCCGAGCACGTCAAAATCGACATCGTCGTCATCGTAATCGCATGGCACACCCTGGTACATAGCAAG